GGTACCTTATTAAGTTTATTGAAGAACAGTAAAGGGTCGCATTTGATTGCAAAAATTGCAAATGAGGATAATATAGCGTCCCAAATAATATATATTAATCTATTAACTCAAACATGCAATGGCATTTGTCCATATTTATTTATATATAAATACTCGACGGTCGCGTTGGCGCGGCTCTGCGGGGTCGCCCGCCGAGCGCTCTGACTATTGTCTATTTAGGCTACACTACCGCCCACATTTACATCAGAATCCTGGACTTATATATATGTATGTGTTCGTTAGAAAACGCTCTACAACCTATATGCAAACTATTTTTTGAATTTCTCGCAAATAAACCAAATACAGTAGAAAATCCAAAATAACAGTGTCAATATTTTCGCAATTTCACCAATTACACTAAAATTACGGAAAAACTGTTAGATTTACGGTAATTGTGTATACGATATTTTTTGTAGGAAATTTGATTCTAAAGACAACAAGCTATTATTTAACCGAATTAGACAACTCGTACGTTAACTAGACGTGTTTTAGTAAAACCATGCAAATTTGACTTTGAGGGGTGGTGGGGGGGAAAGCACCGGGGGGATTTTTCGGGACTTTTGGGGAAATGTATATCTAGTTGGGTACTAACGATTGGTATATAGTTTTGCCTGTCGCTAATTTATTTCGACATCGGCTATATATTTGTCTTTATTGACTGGGCTACATGGGAACGGGGGTTTACGGGGGGTTTATGGGTAAAAATAGGTTTTTCCCATTTTTGACAAAAAAAAACATAAAATTTAGCAGTTTCTTTCCAAACCATTTTGTAGAGCTTAAAAAACAAATAATTTAGTATATTAAAGCGCTATTATGCGCCTAATGGTTACGGAGAAAATTCCAAAAAATTGTAAATTTAAAATTCCCATGTTATTCTTATGGAGAGTAAGTAAACTGTTGTAGTTTGCTTGTTTATTAACATATTTTGATCAAATTTGGAAAATGTTTTTATTTCTTACTAACTATTAACATTTTACAAAAAAAAACAGTTTTACCCTCCCTGATGCAGCAAACCTAAGTACTTGTTAAAACTAATTCTATTTAAATCGGGAATAAGTGTTATATTTTTAAGTAGGCATTTCAGTGTAAATCCAATCAGTGAAATGGAAATTCGCTTAGTCTGCAGGTTTGCTGCGGCGGGGGTATTTTATAATTAAAACATTATGGAATTGAATTTGACCCATTTATAGTTTTATTTTATGAACAGAAATATTTTGTTTGGTCAAACCTTCATTTGATTTTTCATTGTTAGCAAGTCTGGTTAGTTTGGTTAGGTTATGATAGTTTAATTTTATAATAAAAAAATTATAAAATAGGATTTAAGGCATTTATAATTTTATTTTATGAACAGAACTATTTTTTCGATTAATAAACCTTTATTAGATTTTTCCATTGTCAGCACATTTGGTTGGTTAGGTTAGGTTATGACGGTTTAATTTCACAATAAAAAATATAAAATTGAATTTGAGGCATTTATAATTTTATTCTATGAACAAAAATAATTTTTCAATTACTAAACCTTCGTCATAGTCAATCAGAAGCCTCTAAATGACACTGTTGGCAAAATTCATCCTGAAAAACAAATTGTGCCCCCAGGTCCAGCCAGTAGCCAACGACCTTCTAGTCGAAGGGGGAGGTGCAGCTGTCGCGCATGCGTACAAGCACTGCCATGCTGTCACTGTTATTTTCAAAGTAGTAGTTGTAAGCTTTTAGTTCCGTTCCCCGTTCCACGGCCACCGTGTAACTGTTATAGCTGTTTGCAGGGTGTTCTTAGATTCTTTCATTATCAGCACGTTTGGTTGGTTTGGTTAGGTTATGACAGTTTAATTTCATAATAAAAAATTATAAACCTTCAGTCAATCAGAAGCCTCCAAATGACACTGTTGGCAAAACTAATCCTGAATAACAAATTGTGCGGCTAGGCTAGCATTATATTACTATCAATTTAGTGGTGGTATTTATTATTATTTTCGTTTAGGCCTATATAACTATAATAGTAATTAGGATGTGTTGGTATACATTATTACACCCTTTTTAGCTTAATTCTGTCCGTTAATATCTGTCAAACTGAGTATGCGTGGACCCTCCGTCAACGGTTACAACGTTACATTACAAGGTGTGGTATATTATGGTCACCACTTAATGTGGTGGCCGGGAACGGGAAGTAACGCGATAAGTTCTCAAAACTGAAACTGCTACTTTGAAAATAGCAGTGACAGCTTGAGCGCATGCGCAACAGCTGTATCTCCTCCTCCTCCTTCGACCTTCGACCGTTCGACCACTTAGCGAGGAGATCTTGCGTCAGACCGTCACCGCCTTTTTTTCGTCTGTCTAGAAACGGGACAGCGGAATTTGAAATCGGAACGACGCTTCCCCCACTACTGCGCTGTGCCGAACGCTTCCGAATCTTACCGAGCAGTGCCGAACTTAAACGTCAAATTCAATGCTGTCTGTCGCGTGGTCGCGTGGTGTACTTCATCGTTTATTGGCTTGTCTTGTCAACAATGAATGTATGCCAGTTTTGTAATAAGTTTTGTTAATCGGTGGGTTTTGTCTCGACACCTTCGTGAAATACACGAATTCATTGAGGGGGAAAAGTATAAGTATAAGTAAAAAAATAAGTACTCATACTGTGAGTACTTATTTAGGCTACCAACGATACAAAACCAATGATAGACTTTAAGGTACAATAAAAGAACGTGTTAACTGGTTTGCTCTGTAAACAAAAAAACTATCACAACAGTTACAAACCGAAAAATAGAAACAAATAGGAGAATAGAAATAAATATGAAGAATAGGGTAATTTTTTTAACATATTTTAGTGAAATTATAATCAGGTAAATGGAAATTCACTAAGTCTATAAATTTGCTGCGGCAGGGGGATTATATTGCTCTTTACACAAAAAAAAATAAAAAAAATAAACCTCATAAAACTCAGGATAATGGTTTGGCAATGATTATAGAATCTTAATTATTTCCTATATTCATGAATGATTTCTTTTACAACAAATTATTCCTTGTAAAATATTATTACAGCACTTCGCAAATATTAGAACAGACTCATTATAAAATATATATAGAAGGCAAAGCCCTCACTGACTCAATCACTCATCACTAATTCTCCCACTTCACACTTACCTAGGAGGCTGAAATTCGGTACACCGATTCTTTAGGCATTAAATAGGAAAACTAAGCTGTTTTTATTCTGATCGGACTCTTAGGCTCCGCCGCAGTGGCTCTGGAGTTTCCCCATAATAACCTTATGAGTTCTCATATTTAAATGCAATTAATGAATCTTAACAGCTGTTTCAATTACACATGTTGGTTCTGTTCTATGATGTTCAATAGCATTAAAGATACAAGGATTACTAACATAGGGTGCAGCACTATTATTAATTTGCAACCAAAAGGTGAGTGAGCGTAGCGAACGAGCTAACCTGAAGGCAAATGAGCGCAGCGAACGAGCTCCAACCTAAAAGTGAGTGAGCGTAGCGAACGAACTTCAACCAGGACGTGATTGAGCCATGCGAACGAGCTCTCACTTATAAAGTTAAACGGGGCAAAGCCCGCGGGTACAGCTAGTAGATCATAAACATAAACAAATGGAGTAACTGATGAAATTACATTAACATATGGTTTGACAGCTCCATTTAAGTAATGTTAAACAACATTATTTTAAATTTATAATCCTTACCCTCTCTGTTCTGGTATTCGTGCAGTATTTAATATGTTTGAGTTTGTATGGGGAGCGAGCTGGCGTAGTGGTTAGAGCACGGGACTTCAGTCCCTGAGGTCCCGGGTTCGATCCCCGCCAAGTCACTAATGGATTTTATGTAAGTGATAATGCCGCAACCCCTAGGTCTAGCCTGAAGTAATGTGAAAAACAATCCCAGGCTCGTGCCTAGAGTCCTTAGGACAAAAAAATATGTTTGAGCCAGCTTTAGTGGAATTGTGAAATCAAAACTCATTTGACAGTTAGTTATGCTTGTTTATATTTTTAAACTTTGTAGGTTTGTTCTTTGTTACCATGGATACGATCAATCAATATTTACTTTTAAATCTCTCACCTCAAATTTTTGAAAGCCCACTGGGCAGAGCCCTAGGACAATATCGAAGCGGGAATAGTTCTATATGTATCCTCGGAACCGTAGCTTCATGTGTGTGCAATTTGAGCCCAGTCGGTTCAGTAGTTTTTGTGTTATTGAGTAGCAGACAGACACACAAACATATGCCATCTCATTTTGATATATTATTAGTATAGATAATACATTTTAATAATTTTTTCCCCATCTTTTATTTAATTTATATAAATGTCATCATATTTACTTATTGTTTAATTTAAAACAGATTGTAAATAAAACTTTGCAAAAAAATATATTTAATAATTTGTAATCATTAGGTAATAATCAACCATTAATAATAAATTAAATGAAATAGTAACAGCTGACACATTCTTATTTTCTAAGTTAAAGTTCTTGTACTTCACATTTTTTTACTTGCTTTGAATTTTCATAATTTGAGTATTTACTTGAACAGAAGTGAATAAGCATGAGTATTTACTTGTACTTCTAAAAGGCCTTTCCAAGGAAGTATATACCCTCAGAAACCTATAAATTTGGTGTTAATAACCACCAGCAAATACTTGCCTAAAGAGTAAATACTTGAGAAAGAGTAAATAGGCCTACGGCCTACCTGTTAGCTATAATTTAGAACGACATGGAATTAAACTTTTTATTTCTATACTTTTGTTATTTAAACAGTGTAAACAACAATTAATAATAGTTAGGATTTTTATGTAATTCATCTTTATTTGGACGTATATAGCTTTTTGTAATTTTTAATAATTATTCTAGAAATAGTTTTCAATTAACATAATTTAGACTCATATTTAACATTAAACGGCTACTGTACTTTGTTCCCGCGTAATTTAAAACAGGCTCGGTGATGACAGAAACCCGCGATCAGATGTTCAGTTCGGATTTCAATTCCGCTGTCGCTGTCCCGTTTCTAGACAGACGAAGGTGGGCGGTGACGGTCTGACGGCAAGGTCTCGTCGCGAAAGAGAAAGACAAGACACTCAAGACAGCCATCTTCGATCTTCGTGACTTCATGTTCATAACCTGCGTCTTGCGCTTGCGTCTTGTCTTGCTTTTTGCTCGACTCGACTGCGACTTTTCTCTTCTCTTCTTGAGCTGCTGAGGGAGACGTAGACGTTATTTTATGTTTCATCTGTGTTGGTTGACTTGTTGAGTTTATATCATAGTTATTTTTGCCTTTGGTGACTTATTTGTCGTTTTAGTTCTCAACATTCACGATGGATAGATTTTACCGTTCTTTTCTATTCCCCTTAATTATTATTCTTATTATTCATGTGCATCTCCACCGCCACTCATCAGAAGGATCCTTCTCTGAAATAGTTGGCTGTTATTTTTTGAGATAGGCCTAGGCTACTGTATGTGTTTAAGAGATTCCATTAAGTTATATAAGTAGATCTTGTAAAAATACCTCTAACGGTGGGGATGTCGGATGTCTCAGATGTTTAAACTTAATGGTAGGATATCATGTGATACATTCACACATAAGTTATTTAGGCCTAGCCCACTTCAGCACAATAGGGTACGATATTCACGAACGTGGCCATTTCACTCAGATTTGTCAGACATTACCTTCCGATACTTACCATTACTTACTATACTGGCCTCTTGGTATCGATACCAAGTAAATATCGGAACAACCGATACCGTATTACCCTACTGGTATCGATAGTATCGCAACATTCCTAGCTGAATGTGGCAATTGTTCTTTTTGTTTTTTTTGCAGATTTTTTTGTTTTTCTTCTGAGGAGATTCTTCAGGCCACTCAATATTTCCCAAAAAAGCAGGGCTTATGTTGTGTAGTTCACACTGTGGAATCTTGTGGTGTGACGACTATCTTAGCAGTCAAACTCTCATCTTCTTTTCTTCTTTCTTCCTTGTTATTTTCAATGGTCTCTTCAATGCTTTCTTCAGTTTCTTCTGTTTTTTTACCTTGATTGTTTTCTGAATTTTTCTTATTGTTCTTGTCTTGGTGACTTCCTCTATCTCCTTCTTTTTCTTTGTTATCTTGATCACTTTCTTTAATTCCCTCTTTGTTTTTGTCTTCTCTGTTTTCTTCACGTTTCTCTTGGTTTTCTTGTTCTCTTTCTTCAGTACCGGTAATGCTTTCTTTATCACTTGTCAAATCAATACATCTTTTTCTGAGGCTTTTCCAAAGTTAAAACATTTCTTGGACACTCTCATCACCGTCCCAGCCTGTTTTCTCATTTTCCCGGAACTCCTCCGCTCTTCCACCCATTCATGACTCATCAAACAATAGCTGAGGAATTCCAAACTCACAAGGCTTTGCAGGGATGAAATTTGGAGTTTGACCAGTTTCACTAATCCTGGACTGATCGGACATCCATTTTGTGAAGTCGATGCTATCAGGGTTAAAGGGAAACTGCCCACATTTTCTAAAGCCATTTTCTATGACTACTCGTGGCTCTTTCGTTTAAGCCGGTTTCAAATAGTCGAGGAAATTTTGCTCTTGTCAAAACCTTGTTTTCAGATTTCCTCTTCCAGTCTTCCACAGCAATAGTCCATCCCGCCTTTAGAGACCTAAAGACAGATACGTCTAACAGCTGTATATGTGTCGCATTGGGTAGGAGCGCATATAGAATAATGCCGTTGGCTTGACATAATCGGCACACATTCAATGTCAAGTGGCTTATGTGCCCATCTAGTAGGAGTACAGGTGACTTATCTTGTGTGATTTTATCCACGGAATAAACGTAGCCTATTGCCAATGAAACAAAAAAATGTTTGTCCGGTCATCCACCCTGATGGGGACCTACCGAGTGCCCATTCAGGATTGCAATTTCTGGCTATGTCCATTGGTATTCCAACATACGGAAATACTAGGTGGGAGCATTTCCCCTGCCGCATTAACTGTGACCAAAGTTGTGATACTTTCTTTTTCGGAACCGTCTTTAACTACGTAAAAGTTTTTGTAATTTACCGGCCCCAAGACTAATCCCGATTCAGGATTTGTTCTAAAACCCGATTTGTGCCATGTTGAAAATTCTTTCTGGTTCACTTAGAATATCTTCAGCGTTTTCTTCCTTTAAAAAGTCTTAACTCTTGGGCCCAGCCTCGTAACTTTGCTTCGGTAATCTGAGCCCTAGTACAGATAAGTAGGAAGTAGGTAGTTGAGGTAGAAACAAGATAGGTACAACATACAGTTAGGTGATCAATTACTGGCTATGAATGAATATCCAAGGCAATCGGCAAGCTTGATGAAGGGGGTAGTGTTTGTGTGAAGTGTATGCCAAGTTAGCATTGTGAATTTGGGAAGCCGTGTTCTTCTAACATGTGTAATCTTGTTGTAATATAGTCTGGAAGTGAGTTAACTTACTGAAGTTGAATGTTTTCCCAGGCCAAGGTTAGGCCCATGCTTGGATTAACTTAGTGTTGGCCCTACTCAGTTAACTTAGGCTAGTTGGTTGAAGGGTTGAAGTTGCTGATTGGCCTACAAGAACTGAGGCCTAAGTTAGTACAGTATTTTTATCTAGCATCTATTATGTGATTAACTTAGCCCCACACTCATCTCCATTCATAGGCCCTACTTGGCTCAAAATTGCTACATTCGTATGGTCACCATTTCATTCGAAATTATTAAAGTATTAGCATCAGCAAAACCCTGCTGTTCCTGATTATTGGGCTTTAATCATTGGTCCTGACTGATCTTAGTCAGTAATGAATCTACGCAGATCATTCTACGATCATCTTTCACTCATATTTGGTTTAAAATAGGCCTACGCACAGGTGGCGTCCCTATCTCAATTGGTTTGTTGATTGAAGTTAAGTTATAATCGATTCTTAACATGTTCAATACTCAATAAAAGCCCAAGTGCTTGCGGTCTCCTATAATCAAGCCCCTGTGGTGTTCATCTCCGAAATAGGCTAACTTACTAATATCATATGCCGGTACAAACATGAAAAAGATAAGAGATGTAAACTGGTTTCACTTACAGTTACTACCATTGTCATTTGCTAAGTTAACAGTGACCCAATGCAATTTAAGATCATTTGTACGCCGCCTATTGTTGGCGAGCGCCACACAGCAGTGCTGATGAAAGTTGGTACGCGTGGTGATCGTGTTAAATTTAACCCTCCTACTGCTAGTCATATAATTAAGTAATGCCGGCTCATTTTAGCGATTTTTCAGATTTTGTTTAATTAACAGTAAAAATTGTAAAAACAATATAAAGTACAGTCCAACCTCGGTATAACGAATCTGAAGGGACCGAACTGAATATTCGTTATACCAAGGATTTCGTCAAAATGAGGTTCGTTATATAGAGGTTAGGTTTGCAGGAATTTCGCTAAGTCGAGGTTCAGAACCAGCACCAGTCTATATAGGTCGGGGTTGGACCTCATTAAAACACAATAATTAAAGTAGCATAGGCTATAATACTTGACAGTGTTTAGATTGTAAAGTAGAACCTCGATTATCCGGGACACTAAAGGGAAGGGATCTTTAATATTGCGCAATCATGACATTTACATTTATAGTCATTGACCTTGGTACAGGTTACAAACTGTAAGTTTAAAATCACAGCTTACTGCTTACTCTAACCCACCTAAAACCTAGCCAAACACTGTATTGCATAGCAATAAACCACGTAAAGAACAAAACAATACAGTAGAGGGTTTTGTAAGCTACTGCTCGTGATAGGCCGGTAGGCTACAGTAGGGGAAAGTGGGGGAATTGGGCGCACCTAACCTAAATCAACTATAACTTTGACATTTTAAAAGCAAATCTGTTAATAATATCATGAATTGATAGCTAATTTATTCTAGTACATTATATCTATTGTAAGAAACATGTTTCATAAATCTTTTTTTTTTTATAAAAATATATAACTTTGCATTTGCGCCCAATTGCACTACCGCTGGGTAATTGGGCGCATACTGTCGGGTAATTGGGCGCATACTGTCGGGTAATTGGGTGCATACTGTCGGGTAATTGGGCGCGTGGTGGAAGCTTAGGTACTTAAACAATAAAGTAGTCCAAATTCAATGACATGATGTTTATTATAAAAAAAACAAGTAAGTACTGTAGTAAGTAGTTTTAATTTTTAGGAAATTAGTTTTAATAGGAAAAATCTGTTCAAAAATTTGTAAAAAACATGAGTAGGAAACATTTGTTCTAAAATGTGTATTTACAGAAGTCACAGATGTAGTCCTTGGCTGAATCCCATCCCGTACATTCTGAATGGCTCCAAGACGAGCACATGACACATCTATACCAAAGCTCGTTGTCTTTGCCTATGTCCCCACATATGGAACATATGTCTACAGTTGTTTTGTCGACAATGTTGGGGTCTACGAGATCAATGATGTCATCGTCTTGATCTTGGAAGAGAGGTGCTTCTTCTTCGATGTCCGACTCATCCGATGTGTCCTTCTTTTTTCGTTTTTTCGGCTTCATTTTGTTGTTGTTTGAACCTTTTTCAGTTTTTATTTCATCCATATTTAACATTCTGGCAGCCTTCTTGAGTTCTCTGTTCTTTTTCTTTGACAAGTTAGTCTGTCGTTTTTGTGCAACTACTTCCAACTTCATTTTCATTGGCGTTGAAGTAAGCAGTTCTGAGTGCTGCTTTTCCCTTGAAACTACTTTCCTGGCATTGGGAAGTCTGGGTTTTAGCGAATTTCCCTATAGGAAAGTAGCTATTACCGTAGGTCTCATGGTAAGACTTAGGCCCGGGACCGATTTACTTTTTCATTTTAATGTCCCCAGAGGCCAAAAACACCATTCGTTCAAATTTTTATATATGTATATATATATATAGATATATATATATATATATGTCCGTGAACACGATAACTTGAGTAATTTTTATCCGATTTTGATGAAATTTGGTTTGAAGGTGTAAGGCGGGATAAACTTGAATGAGTTCGCGATCCAGCATGATCGGACCATGGGAACAAGGTTTTATGGGATAAAAATTGGTTTTTCTCACTTCTTACCCTCAAAACACAAAATTTCCCAATTTTTCTCTAAACCTTCTTAAAGAGCTTAAAAAAACAAACAATTCAGTATATCAAAGTGTTTTTATACGGTTATTGGTTACGGAGAAAACTAAAAAAATGGTAAATTTAAAATTCCCATGTTATTCTTATGGAGAATATTGTAAAATGTTGTAGTTTGCTTGTTTATGGATATATTTTGATCAAACTTGGCAAATTTATTTATTTTATAGTAAGCTATCAATATTTTACTAAAAACACTCTACTTTATTAGTTTCCTTGTAGCAGCAAACCTAGGTACTCGTTAAACCTAATGTTATTTAAATAGATCAATTGAAAATCAATTCGGCCAAATGGAAATTCGCTTAGACGGCAGGTTTGCTGCGGCGGGGGTATTTTGGGAATTGGAGCAAATTCAAAAAACGAATTTGGTGACGTTGACTTAGACGGGTCAAATATAGGTCCTCTTGATGTTGAGGGCTTAGAGGATTCAAAAATAGGTCCTCTTGATGTTGAGGGCTTAGTGGGGTCAAAAATAGGTCCTCTTGATGTTGAGGGCTTAGAGGGGTCAAAAATAGGTCCTCTTGACGTTGACTCAGAGGGGTCAAAAGTAGGTCCTCTTGATGTTGAGGGCTTAGAGGGGTCAAAAAGGGTTCCAGTTGTCGTTGACGGTTTAAAGGGATCGAAAAGTGGTCCACTTGTTTTGGACTGGTCTTCTTGTCTAGATTCGTTTAGGCCTACTTCGCTGGTAGCGGTTTTCTTAGAGGTGTCAGGAGTCTCACAGCTCATAACGACTATTGCTTCATTAGAAACTGTGGCAGGGGCGAAGTCTTCTTCAGAGAACTTGTTTCGGTCAAAAGGCACAATACCAGAGGAAGCAAACCCAGATATTCCATTTTTCATTGTCGCAGTCTTTATAAACGCTTTGTTGAGAAGCTCCGCAATGTCGTACTCTGTAATTTTTGTGTGCCCTGAGCTTGTCAGATATGAATCATACTCCCTGTATAAAGCTCCTTTTAATGGGCCAAAAAATGTCAAATCTAACGGCTGAAGCCTATGAGACGTATGAGGAGGAAGGGACAGCATGTGGATATGGTTTTGTCTGCAGAAGTTGAAAATTTCAAGTGACACGTGACTACTGTGATTGTCTAAAACAATTAAAACTGGGTCTTCTTTGGTAGGATGGGCATGTGCTGCAAAGTGGTGAAGCCAATTGATGAAGATAGTCTCATTGCTCCATCCGTTTGATGAGCATGTGTATACAGCCCCTACAGGTCCATTCCG